TTTTCAATAACCGATTAATCGTTTGAAAAATCGATTTTTATCCTTTCGATTTTCGATTTCGGTTTTTAGAATCGATTCCGATCCCTAGTTTCGACAAGTTTCGACAGGTTAGTTTATATGATTTTATTATTGTTTTGACACTTTTGGTCTGTCTAAACCCGGGAGTTTTGTCAGGCAACTATAGCAACGGTCATTGCTGCAACAATTTCTAATTGTAAGTTGATGGGCAATGGAATATCCTGACATAATCATGGTTAGGGTTTGCATTGCGAACTTCTAACTACCATAGATTATTATGTCTAGCATCCTACAATTCCAAAGGGACAGTCAATTAGTCTTATGCTTTTATGTGTTTTTAAGTAAGGCCATTGTAAGTCACAATGAAAAAATCACTTTTTTTTTTAATTCATCATAATGCACAATCTTGAGAATTTGCGAATTTTGAAAAGTTCATTAGAACTTCTGCTGTATTTGGCAGGTACAAAGCGTGAGAAGATTTAAAGTATTATATATTTTTGGTAAGATAATATTAGATTATTTCGTCATATTATTATCATTATTTCGCAATTCTTTTTGAACAATGGCGCGTTTATGCTGATCTCATGATGTACGATTAACTGAAATTAAGTTAGTATAATCGTGATAAGGAGGAGGGCCAGAAATTACATCATTAAGATTTTATGAAATTTTGACCCTTGTCATCATCCATTTTAAGAAATTATAAAATTAACTTATATAAAATTTGTGGAACGTCATCATGAATTGAACCTTTAAAAGCCTAAGCGATTTAAAATTTTTAAACACAACGCCTTATGTAGATCAGGACGTTTCTGTATTTGTCACACACGAAACCAACTTTTGGTTTTTCATTTACATATCATAGAAATAGCCATATATGGATGAACAAAGAATTACTGTACATTTTCAATGTTCGATAAATAAACTAATTTCATTCATTTCTTTCCTAACAATTCCAATTTGTTTTTATATTGATATATTGATGGTGGTTGACGTTATTGAAATAGTTCTTAAAGATCTTTGTGTTCGTGATTTACTTTCGGCACTTCTAGTTAACCGAGTATGGAGTCAAGCCGCCGTTCCATTATATTGGAAAGCTCCATTCAGTCATACAAAGAAAAGAAGTATGCTCGCACTAAAGATTTATAAATTATTTCTTGAACAAGAAAGGGGATCGGCAGGAAGCTCTGCAGTTCAAAATCAACCACTTTATGATTATCCCATTTTTCTCAAGGAACTCAATTATACAAACCTACTTGCGTGCGAAGAAACCTATGATAGGTCAAGAATAGTTGAAAAAATATTTCAAATGTTAACAAATCGTGAGGTTCATCTTAACGCTTTTATTATGGAGAATACCGGTGCAAATAACGAAAGAGTTTATGGATTGTGGACGAAGCCATGTTATGCATCATTATTCAGTTCCCTTGTTCACGTCGAAATACATACACCTTTTCCAAAAAATAATGTCATGAAGGCATTGGCAAACAATTGCACTAAACTGGTACGTTTATATTTCTAAATGATTCTACCGTAATTTAGCAAATCAAAATTTTGAATTGGTACACAACAATTCTATGCACCATCTAAAAAAAAAAAAATTATTGAAATTGCCAATATTGACGTGTAGTAAAATAACTCACCATAAATATTTTTTCATTCGCTCTAGTCTCATATTGATATCAATCTTCACGACACTTCTGTTGAGCGTGCAAAAGAGTCGCTCAACTATCTTGAAGTACTCATCACCGCCCAGAAAAGCCCTTTAAACCTTCGGTTAGTGTTTCCAAACGGAACTGGCAATATTCTAATCGAAAAATTATGTACAGGACTTGAATCCTTCAAACGTCTCGAACTTGTAAAATGGAACTTTACCGGATGTTATTGGGGATGGTTGAAAAAATGTCCTAATTTGACCGAATTTGCAATAACCGATCCACCACCAGCTCAGGTTACTAGCACTTTGGGCATTGATTTTGAAACTTATCGTTTAAAAATGTCGAAAAATTCAAAGGTTGTAACTGCACATTGGCATTTCGATAAAGGTGACAAAATTTCTTCAAAATTTTACTTTCATCCAGATAAAACATTGATGGAACCGTATGATGAAAAACCTCCAGTTGTTATCCAACCTCGAGTAATTCGCAAAATTGATAGTGCTAAAAAACATCAATATATGTTGGAAAACTTATTAAAACGTATGGAATCAGAATTTTTCGATAATTTTTATAAATCTTCAGACATTTCCGATGATTTTAATTTAGATGATTATGATTACAGTTCCGACGAATGGAATAATTGCTATGATTAAATTTCCTAGTTATCGGGATCCCAGATTATAAGATAGACCATCTTTTTATTTCAATAGTTTGTAAAAAATAAATTATTTATTCAATAAAAAATATATATTATCGTAATTTATATGCAAATGCATTTATAATATGTATTAAAAAGAGACGTTAAAGTTTTGTTTTATTCTTACTATGATCAAAATGAGCCACATCATAAACATTTATTTTAGAGAAAACAATAACCCTGTTCGAACTCTCCAGAAACAATTCCTTAAAAATGACATTTTTCTAAGAAAGATACCAATAGAAATACAGCATTACAGATAGATATGGTAGCAGTAAATATTTATCTAGAATTTTATGCAATTCTTATTTCGAACACCTTAGATAAAGTAATTATTGATTTATTCAAGCTTACCTTATATTATGTCATTCATATTACATCCTCAATAATTTTGTCTCGTAATCTTGTGTCGTTGTATCTGGTAGAATACATTTTATCTCACGTGGTTACAGATGTTTGATTATGCTCAACGGATATTCGTGGCCTAAGGTTCTTCAATTATCTGATTATAATTTGGTGTTTGGATAATGATGTGAAAATACGGAACTTAAAAGATTAGAAGAATGGGCG